TTAAAAATAGTTTAAATTGTAAATTTATAATAAAAAAATATATTTATAGTTTTATATAATTTTTTATTTAATATTAATATTGTTTGATAGATTTCATTGTGTTGATTTTAGAAATATAAATTTTATAAAAAAATAAATATATATTGTAAAAATTATGATGATTTGAAATTTTGAAAATCAAAACAAATGTTACATCACCATATTTTTATATAAACAATTACAAATGATGAATAACCATTGTTTGGAATGTAATTTCGTCTTTATTTGGTTTATTTTTAGAATTATAATTTAAGTGTGGAGTTGTGTTTTGAGTTATGAGTTTTGAAAATAAAAAATCATTGTTTGGAAGGTAATTTCGTCTTCATTTGGTTTATTTTTAGAATTATTATTTAAGTGTGGAGTTGTGTTTTGAGTTATGAGTTTTGAAAATGAAAAACTTGTTTGGTTATAATTTTGAAAAGAGTTTTAAGTTATATTTTGAAATTATTTTGGATTTATTTTTTCTAAATATTTAAAAATTTTCTTAATTTTATTTTTTAAAGATAAATATTTTTCATTATAAATATTTATTTATTTTTTTGAATGTGTGTTGTTATTATATTTGTGCTTTATATTTTTTTAATATTTTAAATATTTAAAAATTCAATTTTTTATTTAAAATATATAATTTTTATTTTAAATATTTTCTTATTTTTTATTTTAAATTTTTTAATATTTAATATTTTTAAATTTAATATTTTTTGGATTGCCTACATATATTTAAATCATAACAAATTATTTGGCCAATACTTAAAAAAATAACAAAATATATTTTTTTGAAAAAATATAAAATATAAAAAATATTTTTCTTCAAAAAAAAATCTGAAAAAAATATTCTTTCAAAAAAAATAAAAATAAAGAATTGAATTTTCTTTTTATAAAAAAAGTAGAGTTTTGAATTGAGTGTTTGGTTATGAATTTTGAAAAAAGTTTTAAAATTTTTTGATTGAAATTATAATTCCAAAATTAAATCAATCCCTACCTAATGGGATTTGAAGAAGCAAAAATTCTTATCTAGCAATTAGTGGAATATAAGTTCATAAAATAAGAATTGTGTGTAAATGTCTATAAAAAATTGTGTAATATTATTACAAAAATACATAATATTATCACAAAATGAGTAACTTTATTTCTAAATTAATTGTCATAATTCTTACCAGAAATACGTAACATTTACCACAAAATGTATAATATTTATTACAAAAATACGTAACAGGTGCATATGATATATATTTTTTGAAGGATTCTATACTAGGGGTGGGCATTCGTCAGGTTAGGCTGACATTACATAGTAAGAGATTTTGTGTATATCCAAGACCGACTTGGTCCTAACATCAGACATCTACATCTACTCACGCTCAGGTCACAAAATAATTATAAATCCCAAGTCTGCGAGCTCCATGTTAAATTTTTTAAAAACATTATATAATTAAATTCAATCATATATTATATTTTTGAAATAATTATACTGATATTATTATAAATTAAAAAAAATTGTGTCAAAAAGTGCACTTTTTTTAGGACATTCCAAACCAACCCTAACCAATTTAATTAAGACCAAAAAAATATATACATATATATACAAATCACTGAATAATTTGAGCTGACATTACATAATAATTTTTTTTTGTATTTATCCAAAGTCGACCCAATCCTGACATTGGGACTCTATAATTACGCAAGCCCAGCTTTAAAAGTAATTATAAATTCCAAACTCACCCATCAGAGTTATATGATAAAAAAAATTAAAATATTTCGTAATTAAATTCAATCACACTTTATATTTATTAAACAAATACACTGATATCATTATAAATTAATTTTTTTAAAAAAATTTAATCATACATCATCACAAATGTAAATTTTAATAAAATTAATCAAGATAAAATCTAGATTCCAACAAAAAAATATACATTTTAACATATTATAATTAATTAATTAATTTAATAGCGGTCATGATGAGTTGAAAGTATAAACCTCAAATCCAGCCCATTAATATATTGGGTTGAAAATATTGGCTAAATTCGACCCTATGGCATGAAATAGCATTCTCAAAAGCTTAAAAAATAGGGTCCGGCAGGGCCAATGTGCACCCTATCACAAATTGGTGTAATTTTACCATAAAATTTTGTAATATTAACTACAAAATGCATAACCTCCACACAAATTAGCCTAACAAAATATTTAAAATTTTATGCTTGATGTTACAAAAGTTTATGTCTTGGTTACGATATTTTTTTGTTAGAGCATTGCTATTCAAAAACCCAATTTTCAAACTAGTAATGTGACAATCAATTAAAATATTAAATATAACATTCTCTTTCATATCTTATCTAATCACTAACCAATTATATAACTTACATATTGTCTATAAAATAAATCTAAAAAATAGATGTATATATCAATTTTCTTTTTATTATATTAATTTATGACGAACTGATGTGTTTGATAATTAATATTATAAAATTTTATAATAAAAATTACGTTAATTTATAGTCGGCCGCACGCCACAAACTTTTCCATCCTTATAGTGTTTCCCTTTAAACAATTATCAAAAATATATATTTGTAATTTACTTATAAAATAAATTAAAAAAGTATAAAAAAATACAATGGGTCCTACACTGTTGCAGTGCCGACGTCTTTTTCTTTTTTGGTCGTCTCTTCCCCATATTAAAAAAAAAAAAACAATTTATTTATTGATTTAAATCACATCACTTCTTTATTTTTCTATATATATTTTTGAATTATTTACCAATAAAATCTACTTTACAAACTGTTATACCAAATAGTCCCACTTTTATTCTTTTGTACTCGTTAGTCCTGCTGGTAGGTTGATTTGGTCCTTTTTGTTTTTTGTTTTTTTTTTTCTTTTTTTCATTTTTGATATCACTGTGTGGACGAGCGTACCCTTGGGTTAATATGGGTATTGTTTTGTGAGGTCAATTCTTTTTTTGGAAACGTTGCTCCTTCCGGTTTGGTTAATTTTGATGATACATTCAAATACATTTCAGCCATTGTGAGGTAGGGTTTTCGAATTTGAATGTGTTTCTTCCTTGCTGACGGCTACGTGACACACCCCCAGAGATTCAGAAAACTGCCGTGTGTACGCCATTCTCTACCTGGTATCTCCTCGAGGGCCAAACGGGACGTTTGTGCGAGCAGAGTCTAATGAAGCGTAACAGCCCTCTTCTTTGGGCCAACACAACATTCCTTGATCATCACATAATCATCCTTAACCACACCATAGTAAGGGAGAACTCGGTGACAGCAGTGTAGATTACAAGATCAGGATACTTGTCTTTAAGCAACCGTATCGCTCGAGGCACTAATCCATTATCATTATATGTTTCAACACCTCAATACAGTGCCAGTGGTGCCGGTGGAGCAAGCGGTGCAGGTGGAGGAATAGACGGTGGAGAAGTAGCAAGAGGAACAGCTGGTGGTGTTGTCTGGAGGATGGTGAGGAAGGTGGTGGTGATGGGTAATGGCAGCGGTGGTGTCTGCTATGTTGTCTGTGTATGTGGGTTATGTGTGTGAGTCTCCTTTGTACCGTGTGTGTGTTATGCGCTGGGTGTGTCTTAGAGAGAGAAGAGAGAGCTAGGTTTGGTGTGTGTTGTGTGTATGTGTGTGTGTGTGTTGTGTGTATGGCGTGTATGAGTGTGGCTGCTGGGTATGTGTGTTAATGGTGTCTTGTGTGCATGGTGTCTTGTATCTGCTAGAAAGAGGAGATATGTGTGTGGCTGGGTCTCCATGTGAGAGAGAGAGAATGCTGAGAGAGATGAGTGAGTGTGTTGCAGAATGGGTTAACCTTGAACGAGTTGTGGGTATGTAGGTGTCCAATTAGTCACAATTGGAATCCCTTCCAAATTGTGTTGTGGGCCTTGTGTTAACCCCAAACACAACAACCCAGCCCAAAAAAACCCCTCATACGGTTTGGCATTCTGTGACACCCTCACAATGTATCACATGCAAACACACCATACATCCATTTACTAATTACGCACGGGAAACACACACGGGCTACACCCAAAACACGCCTAGCAGCCGCATCTGACTAATAACGTCTAAATGAGGGTAATTACGTCCCTCAAAAATTCTCAGGACTAAACAGTTTACTAGAATAAAAATGGGACCAATTGGTTCATAAGTTTACATTTGGAATTTATTGGTAAATCTCCTTATATTTTTAATTTTTTTTTTAATAAAAAAATCAATAAATTACTTTTTTTTTTTTCCTAATTCTCAAAACAAATATTTGTTCGTTTTTAAGTAGTGTTTTAAAAAGTTGGTAAAAAGTTAATTTTACTTTTTTTGCTAAAAAAGTTGGCTTTTGGGTGAATTTTTTGTGATTTTTTTTTTTATGTAAAAAAGCTAAAAAATAAATAAGTTCCCAAATTACTCCAAGACGCTTGATTTGGCTAGGTACTTGTCCTTCACTTTTTGTTTGTGGTTGAGAGATTTCTTTGTATTCTTTTTGCCTCAATTAGACCTGGAGTGTAAAACTTGCTTTTTAATTTATAATTTATAATTTATTTTGAGTTGCATTATTTTTATTTTTTTTATATATATATTTTTAAAATTAAATCAAAAAGTTAACTTTTAATTAACTTCTCAAAATAATCCTTAAATTCCATGGCAACCAAACAAAATTAATTATTTCCTATTATCTTTTTCTTTTTCTCATCAAAACGTGTGAACCAAAAAAAATATCCCATAAAATTGAAGAGAATGGAGCAACATATTGTGAGTTGGATTGGAGGTCATGTTGGCAAATTTGAGTTTTTTCTAAGGGCTTTACACCATGCCATTTGTTTGATAAGTTAAAATTTTGAGAAACTCAAATCTAGGAAAATATATATACGAAAAAGATAAATATAAAAAAAATAAATAAATAATCATTATTTATTTATTATTCTTTTCAAGTTGACGATCCACCAAAATATCCAACAATCTCACATCTGCTAACAACCAAAATTATTTTATTTTTTTTCATAATTACATACATATATAGTGAAAAAGCACATTATGATTTCTCTTTGATTCTCACTCTCAAGATTTTTTAAGATTTTCAGGTCCATCCAACTTTCTTTTAACTTTTCCCATCTCAACTAAAAAACACTTGAATATTGCTTAACAATTACCAATCATCATATTAATAAATAAAACTAGATTTAAACACACTTAACGTTTACCGTTAAGTAACAGAACAACAGTCCGATATTTCGGAAAACCAAATCGTATCGTCCGAAAAACACTAACAAGTTCGTAGCAAAGGCATCCCACAAAGGCAATCATTGGCCGTAAACGACGACGCTTCGAGGTGATCGAAAGCCGAGCTCGCCGGAATCGGCCCACACAGATGGTTATGGCTCACATCCATGTGCCCCATATATTTCGCCGACGATACCGATTTCGGGATCGAACCCTTCAAATTATTGTACGATAAATCGAGAGAAGTGAAATAAGATTTCGGTCCGAAAACATCCGGAATGTAACCCTCGAGAGAGTTTCGGCTTAAGTTTATAATGCTTAAACCGCCATTGCCCAACAAGCTACCCGGTATTTGGCCCGAAATTTGGTTGCTATCTAGCTTTAGAGTTGAGAGAACCCTCATTGAACCGAGTTGGGCCGGGATTGGACCGGAAATCTGGTTCACCGAGAGATCTAAGTCGGCGAGTCGGTAAATGTTGGCGATTGAGGTGGGGATTGACCCCGTGAGTTGGTTCCGACTCAGTAAGGCTCGGCTCATCATGGTGAGTTTTCCGAGATCGGCCGGGATTTCGCCGGAGAGTTTGTTGTTGCTGAGGTCGAGGTGCATAAGGCTCTGGAGATTGACGATGGAGGTGGGGATTGGACCGGAGATGACATTGTCGGCGACGTTGAGAACAGTGAGTCGACTCAGTCGACCGATATCGGCCGGAAGTCGGCCGGAGATTTTGTTTCCAATGACGTCGAGGATCCGGAGATTGGAGAGAGAAGTGATGCACTTCGGAATCTCGCCAGTGATGCCTTTCCAGTCGGCGACGATGAGGGTGGTGAGGCGGTCGAGAGCGCAGATGGAAGGGGAGATTGAACCGGTCATGAACCCGGTCCGGCCGGCTTTTTCAAAGATGGGGTCTTCGGACTCGCCGCGGAGGGAGATGTCGGCGACCCGGCCGGTCGTAGGGTCGCAGCTGATGCCGTACCAGTTTTTGCAACAGTCGGACCCGGTCCACGAGTTGAGTAGACCCAAGTAGGGTTCGGTGAGAGAGGCTTTGAAGTCCATCAGAGCTGACCGATCCGACGGTGGGCAAGAATTCACGGTCGAAGCAACGGCTAGTATGATGAGGAGAGAGATGAATAAGACCCCCATTTTTTTTTTCTCTGTCTCTCTCTACAATAATGTGTGTAGATACTTTCTCTCTCCCTTGAAGGAATGAATGTGGGTAGTGTGTGAGTGAGTGAGCTTGCTGTATGTGTCTGTTAGTGTTTTTATTGATGAGAATGGAGCAAGGTGAGGGGTTGGGTATGAAGGGTGATGGGATATATACAGAGTTTTTGGACGAAAATACCCTTTTATCTTTCTTGCAAGTGATGTAAGAACGACAATCAATGGGCCCATGCAGATTGCAGGAACAGTTTTAAAATACATTATTGTAACTGAAGTCACGTGATGGTCTGGTTGCCACTTTATCATGAGTGTAGCTTTTTGTTTTCACTTGCGTGTGCCCACCGTAGTGTTAAATTTGCCCAGTATAAAATTTAGGCTTTACTAGAGAGCTCTAATCAAAAGCAGCTCTAATGAGTTGTCATCATTTAAAAAAAAGAAAAAACAAATAGAGAAAGGTAAAAGACAAAATATGAGGAGGAAAATGACAAATTAATGTCCCTTTAGAGCTCCAATTTTAGAATTCTCACTCATTTTTGTAAAATTTAGGTGCAATTTGAAAATTTGGTAAAAGTCAGTTGTTTAGGTTTTTATCAAGTTCTTTTAAAAAAGTTAAAAAATTAAAAAGTTAATTTTTTAAAACACCTCTTAATTTTAATTTAAAACTATATATTTTGTATTAGTGGAGTGAGAAAGATTTTATTTATTTATTTTTATTTTTATAAAGAATAATATTAGAAATTTTAAATATTTTATTAATATTTTTATCAAATATCTTATACAATTGTATAATTCATATGGATCACATATTCATTTAATAAAAATATTAATAAAATATTTAGAATTTATAACATTTTTTTCTTTTGAAATTAAAAGTCTTGAGCTCCACTATATAATTTTATATTTTAAAATAAGTTAGAAAGATATTAACACCATCTCCCGACATCATTTTGTGTTTTAAATAGGCTAAAAGAGTATTTTTGAAAATCAGAATGTCAACACCATCTTCATGCTTTATTTTAACGGCGATGCTCCAGACCCCACAGCTCCGAGACTCCCACCGCATTGGTGAGTGAGAGGGGGAAAAAATGGGTGATCACAAATTAATTGAACATTGCGGGGTTATTAAAAATAGGAGTTTAAGTATTTTTTTTTTCCTTCAATAGTATAATAATTAGAAGGTAAATCGTGCGACACACTAAAATTTATTTTTAAAATAAAAAATTAAATTTGAATTTTAATATTTTATGTGTAAAATATTTTAGCAGCCGAAAGTCAAATACAAACAGATTTACTAATGGCTGATGAAAATTATTATTACTGTGTGTGATCCTATATAAAATAGGCTCATAAAAATAATTTCTTTTAAATTTTTTTAAAAAAAAAAAAATGGGTGATCACAAATTAATTGAACATTGCGGGGTTATTAAAAATAGGAGTTTAAGTATTTTTTTTTTTCTTCAATAGTATAATAATTAGAAGGTAAATCGTGCGACACACTAAAATTTATTTTTAAAATAAAAAATTAAATTTGAATTTTAATATTTTATGTGTAAAATATTTTAGCAGCCGAAAGTCAAATACAAACAGATTTACTAATGGCTGATGAAAATTATTATTACTGTGTGTGATCCTATATAAAATAGGCTCATAAAAATAATTTCTTTTAAAATTTTTTTTTAAAAAAATGTGTATTCTCAACTTGAAATCAAATTTTCATTTGTGTTAATTAAATTTACTAAAAATCATGAATTCCACTTGTATCAAAATATTTTTTTTCTGAAAAAAAATGCCAACATTCTATAATATACAAATTATGATTTGCTTATAACTCATGATGTATTATTTAGTTATTAATCAAAAAAAGTCTTTGCTAATTTATTTATTTATTTATTATTATTTTTTATGTTTTTGGTTATGGCTAAATTGGTGCATTGAGTCTTTAATTATGTTTCATGTGGTGTTTGATTATAATCTTTTATAATATTTTTATATGACAATATTTAAGTATTTTATTACACAAAAAAGTGTTTAAGTTGAGTTAACTCAAAGATAGGATTTATACTTGTATCAGTAAGATCGTAAAAATTATTCGTATTGATATATAAAAAATTATAAATTCAAATCATAAATAGTGTCCTCAAAGGGAATTATATACAAAATCTTTTTAATCTTAATAATTTCAGTTATCAAAAGGGTTCTGACTAATTATGTGACACATCATAATAACCGTAAAATTTTTATTTCAGCCAAATTATTTTTGCATGTCTTTTTTCACAAAGCTAATGAAGGTGCATAATTAGTAATATCATAAATTCAAAATCTTTATTTAAAAATTATTCAAGAAATATCAATAGGTACCTTAAATATATTAATAATACTCCACACTATTTATCATTTGACATTTTTTTAATTTATCTTCTAAAAATTTAACAAAAAATGTATAGACTTTTATTATTTTAATAAATCAATATCAAATTAAATGCTACACATTTATGTAAATCATTTCTAGAAATATAATGTTAGACATAAAATCACGGTGGAGTTAACTTTAATTAAATAATGATATTTTATACTATGATATGTATTACAAAAGAATAATATTTTAATTTAAAATAAAATTCAAATTTAAATTATTTATTTTAATAATATTAACCTTATCATTTTATAAAAGTATTACTTAAATACTTATATATATAATAAATTTAGTTAAATTATTTGTTTATTTTGATAATTTTAGTTCTATTTTACTATAAAAGTATAATTATCTTATAATGATTTTATATGATATATATTAAATCATAAGATAGTAAAAAAACACTCATTTTGATATAAAAAATAATAGTTAAATAAAAAAGAGAATTAATGATAATATAAAATTAAAAATGATTCTAATTATTTAATTTAATTTTAATTTTTATATTTATTATGAAAATAAAAATATATAGAAATAGAACTACATAAAATTTATTTAAAAGATTAAATATAAATATATTGTGATTGGATTAAAAGATTAAATATAAATATATTGTGATTGGATTAAGAAAAAATATATAAATTAAATATGTAAAGTATTAGTTTTTTTCCTTAATATTCTTTTTAAATATTAAAAAGAAAAAAAATATAGATTTTATTGCTAGTGCTCATTGCATATAGAAGAAAATTTTTAACACGTAGATTTAACATATATGTTAAAAAACTTATGTTAAACCTACATGTTTAAAAAAAAAAAACTTATATAATTTTATTGCTAGTGCTCATTGCATATAGAAGAAAATTTTTAACACGTAGATTTAACATATATGTTAAAAAACTTATGTTAAACCTACATGTTTAAAAAAAAAAAACTTATATAATTTTATTGCTAGTGCTCATTGCATGTACGAACACATTTGTCTTGGTGCATCGATAAAAACAAAGAGGGTCAGTATTTCTCAAGTTCACGTATTAATTTGGCAAGCATTTGAAGAATCAACTCGTGATAAATTTTATTTCGATAATTTAAATTATTTATTTTATAAAATTTTAATATTTGGATTTTATTTTGATAATTTAAATCGTTGAATGTGTAAAACTCGTCTAATATTTTATTTCTGCAACAAATCACGTTGATTGAATATTGATACCCTTTAATCAAATCATATTTTTTTAATAATAAATATGATTTTAAAAATAAATTATTAACAAAAATGTATTTTGATCAAGGACATAATAATATTCGATTAATGTTTTTTTTACAAAAATAAAATACTTAATAAATTTTACATATTAAACAATCACTAAATACCAAAAATATAAAAAAATACAAGAATTCAGTACATTTTTTGTATTTTTATGTATTTATTAATTTTTTAAAATATTTTTTTCCTAATTTTTTTGACTTTTTAGATGCATCTAACTAAGGTGCATCTAAAAAAGTAAAAAAAAAAATGTTTAAAATTTACAAAATATTCATTAAAAACAAAAGAATACGAAAATCAAAAAACTCAATTTTCAAAAAACATAATCCAAAAAACTCAAACCAAACACACTAATAAATAATAGTACTAGGGGTGAGCAACGGATATACCGATCCGCCAAAACCGACCGATCCGAACCGATCCGCCGCATTTTGGACGGATCCGTGATGACGAGCGGACGGTTGCAGATTGATTTTCTCCAATCCGCCAATTTGTCGGACGGATGACGGATTTGAGGTTCCTTTGGCCGCAACCGAACTGCCAAACCGCGAACACCCTTAGTTATTTATAAGACTTTGGGTTTTCAATTTGTTTAAATATTTTGTTTGTGTTTTCAATTGAAAAAGAGTTTAAAGTCCCTCTTTATAAATCAAGTACAAAAATAATGTAAATTTCCTATTTTGCCCTTCTTTTAAATTAATAAACAATTTAAAAAGTACAATTATGACATTGATATTCCCAAAAAATGTACTATCAAAGGGTAATTTTGGAAAATCAACTTTTTTCAAATGTAATAAGTGTACTACCAAAAAAAGTTGGATTCCCAAAAAGGGACCAATATTTTGGGACGGAGGGAGTATATAAAATGTAACAATACAGAGACATATAATCTCTACTATTGCTCTGTTTATGGTTTTGGTGGTTTGAATTGTTTTTATATTTTAAGAACCACAGATTATAATATTTTATGTGGATGAGGCATGTTGTGATTGTAATATGTGGATGAGGCATGCAATGATTGTGATATTCTAAAGTTTCAAAATTTCTTTTTTTGGATGAGACATGCAGTAATTGTAATATTTTTTTAAGTCATTGACTGTAATACTTTCTTTTTTTTGAGGAAGTGCACAAGTTGAACTATGTTGAAAATTTATAAAATTTCAAACCGTCAAATCGATTCGCATCCATCCGCCAAACTGCCAATCCACTCAATCCACATCTGCCGGATTGGTGGACGAATGCGGATTGATTTTCTCCAATTCGCCAATCTGGCAGACAGATGACAGATTGGAGGTTCCGTGATTGCAACCGACCCGCGCCCACCCCTAAATAGTACACTAAAATTTATGATTATAATTATCTCCACATAACCCACATTTCACAAATTTTAATTTACATCATACATTTTAACTTTAAATAGACAAATTCAATCCCAACTCATGAATCTATTCAATT